GTAGTAAATTGTTCCTGAGCGGTTCAGTTCTGCAGCTCTTATTATCTTCTCCAACATCAGATTAAAGAAGGTCACACGAAAGGGAGTCGCCCTGTCTGAAACCCCGTTTTGTGGCGAACGGCTCGGAGAGGTCTTTCCCGATTCTGACGGTGCTGGTGGTATTGCTCAACCTCATTTTACACAGCCGTATGAGTTTTGAGGGCATGCCAAATTCAGACATAGCGGCGTATAGGCAAATCCTTTTGGTGCTGTCAAAAGCGGCTTTAAAGTCGACCAATAGGTGGTGAGTGTCGATCCTTTTCTCGCGCGTGCAATTGCTGGCTTATGCCGATGATATCGACATCATCGGTAACAAAAACCGCGAAGTCTGTTCTGCCTTTCCCAAGTTGGATAGGGAAGCTAAGCGAATAGGTCTGGTGGTAAACGAGGACAAGACGATGTATCTCCTGTCATCAAACAAACAGTCAGCACATTCGCGCCTNAACTCGGCCAAAACCGCTTAGGCGGTTACAGCGCCAAAAAAGTAGAAGAATGTATATGGTTGCAAAGTTTCGCAACTCTGCATATACTAACAGTTTAAATACCGCAGTAGAACAGTATCCAAACTTTAGGTGCATTCGCGTATTGATAGTTTTTGATAGTTATCAGGTTTTGCTGTTCGCGTACACAAAAATCCAGCACAGTAGGGAAAATTGAGAGACAAAATTGACATTTCATTTTGATGAGAAGCTGCTTGTTTCGGGTGGAAATTAAGGAGAAANCTGCTGGAAAAAATTTTTCCAGCAGCAATTTAGCAGCACGTAAAACAGCTGACCAAAATCATCTGTTTCAATTTATGAAAATTATTAGATTTATTTTGATGATTTTTAAGTGCAAAATATCTTATTAGAACTGGAAATGTTTCGGAAGAAAGCAGATATCTGTGGTCACAAGCGATAACCGCCTAAGTCGACTTAAGAACGAATTGAGTTATATATGCTATATATTCCACTAATAAAAACTTATAATTTCGTAAAATCCCTATCTCTTTAACTTGTTTTTGTTTTTTAATATTAATAAAAACATTTTAGCTTAACTCGCAACGAAGCCCTATTACATTTACTATAGCAGCCAAAATATACATAAGAAAATGTTACCATACAATATTGTTATATTAAATGGCTTATAACGACTTAGGTTGTTTTTGCACATTAATTTTTTTAATTGTTTGGCATAAACAAGAGAGTTGGTGTAAGAGCCAAAGTGAACATAAATGATTATTTCAAATTGAGAATGTTTAGAGTCATGTACTATCTCTACAAAAGCTATTAATGCATTGTTGTTGATGCGTTTTTTAGAGAGCTATATCGACATAAGCGACAAATGAGAATTACTTATGCTCTCAGTTTTTGTGCAAAGTGCAGCTAGGTTATTATAATTAAGGTACCGTTTTGAAATGATTTTGGTTAAGCTATTCCATGTGACTAGTTCAGAGCTCGTATAACCTCTCACTCAAAGAGAAAAGTGCCAGTGAAATTGAAATTGAACACTTCTTGTTAAATTTAAATAATATTAAAAATAAATTAATAACCTAACACAGAATGGATGAAATCGAAAACGAAGGAAATGTAATAGGTGAGAGTTAAAAAACAAAATGCATTGCTTGGTTTCTTTAATTTTTCAATTTTGTAAACAAATAGGTTATGATGAAAGTAGCCACATGCCTTCGACTACGCAGTGAGTTTGAAGAAGATAAATCAGCTCAACATAAAGCACTCCATTTTGACAGTGATAACTCGGTTCAAGATCCCGACTATGAAGCTTCAATTTCCGATGAGGATGGGGATAGTACTGATATAGAAAATTACGACCTACATAGCGAAGCCCCGACTACGTCTCAAAGAGCTTATTCGCGGAAAATTGCATTCACAAGGCGAAATAAGGGAAAAGCATACGTAAATGTAAAAGGTGATGTTGTGCCGGAAAGAAAATTTAGACCTCTTGTACTTGATTGTCGCATGAAGTGCAACGCAAAGGTACCGATTGAATTCCAAAGAAGTATTTTTCAGAAATATTGGTCTTTGGGTACGTACAATCAGAGAATTTTGTTCATTAGTTCCTTAATTGAAATCAACAACAAAAAAAAAACAAAATTTGGAAAAGAACCTGAAAGGCCCCGTGACCGAAAATTTCAAGCTGCTTATTATGTGGAGTATGAAGGCCAAAGAGTTCAGGTATGCCAAAAATGCTTTCTGCAATGCTTTGATGAGAGTGCCAGTTTCGTCAAAACGATTTTGAAGAAATTACGCTATCCCGATAGTAACTTTACTGATCAGCGTGGATCAGGTGGAGGAAAAAATAAACTTACAGATGATAAGATTGAACTTGTAAAGGACCACATAAACAGCTTCCCAAAATACGAAAGTCATTATACCAGGAGAGATACAAGCTGCAAATACTTACATGCCGATACATCCTTGGCTCAAATGTATAATTTGTATTGCGAATAAGTTATCCATTATAAATAGTACAACTTTCTTGTGTAAATTTTATAAACGCAAACTCCAACGACTAAAAAACAGCAATATAAGGATGAGCGATTAAAAAGTATTCACAGTCGCTAATTGAGCGACTAAGCGACACTCACAATAGCATCAATAATCGATAATCGCTTAATAGTCGTTTATCTACTGCCAGTCGACACTCGCAATAGGGGTGTTAAATTCCAGTCGTCGGGCATGCGTTCATCTGACCATATTCTGCACAAGAGTTGATGCATGCACCTTATCAACTCCTCGCCGCCTTACTTGAATAGCTCAGCTGGTCAGCTCCAGCAGCTTTGTTGTTTTTCAGCCGCGTTATTGCTATACGTACCTCGTCATAGTCAGGCGGTGGAACATCGACTCCGTCATCATCGACTGCGGGCTCGGGTTCTTCTTCTCAACAACTTTCCGTGCTGCTTCCATTTAGTAGGGCGGAAAAGTGTTCCCTCCATAATTTAAGTACGCTCTGGACATCAGTTACTAGGTCGCCATTATTGTTCTTACAGGAGTACGCCCGGTCTTGAAACCTTATGTAAGTTGCCTAACTCTCTGGTAAAATTTTCGGGCATTCTTCCTGTCGGCCAGCATTTCAAGCTCTTCGCACTCCCGTATTTCGGCCTCTCTCTTCTTATTGCGGCAAATACGTCTCGCTTCCCTCTTCAGATCCCTATAGCGGTCCCACATAGCGCGCGTTGCGTCCGATAGCAGCGTGGCCCTGTACGCGGCATCTTTTTTCTCTGCAGCTTCCTGACACTCCTCATCGTACCAGTTGTTCTTTCGGGCTCGCTGAAATCCGACTACTTCTTCGGCGGCGGTACTTAATGAGCGGGAAATGTGGTTCCACTGCTCGCATATGTCGGTTTGTTGAAGAGTGCTCTCTGAGAGCAGGTGTGAGAGTCGAGTAGCGAAAGCGCTGGCTGTCTGTTGTGATTGCAGCTTTTCGACGTTAAGCTTTCCTTGCATATTTGGGCGCACATTTTTTGCTGCACAGAGGCGGGTGCGTATCTTGGCTGCAACAAGATAGTGGTCCGAGTCGATGTTTGGGCCTCGGAGTGTGCGTACGTCTAAAACACTGGAAGCGTGCCTTCCGTCTATCACAACATGATCGATTTGGTTTCTCGTTTTTCGATCCGGAGACAGCCAGGTAGCTTGATGGATCTTTTTATGCTTGAACCTAGTACTGCATACTACCATGTTTCGGGCCCCGGCGAAGTCGATCAGCCTCAATCCGTTGTCGGACGTTTCGTCGTGGAGGCTGAATTTTCCGACGGTGGTTCCAAAGATCCCTTCTTTGCCCACCCTGGCATTGAAGTCGCCAAGCACGATTTTGATATCATGACGGGGGCAGCGCTCGTACGTGCGCTCCAAGCGCTCATAGAAGAGATCCTTGGATGCCTCATCCTTCTCTTCCGTCGGGGCATGGGCGCAGATGAGCGAGATGTTGAAGAATCTCGCTTTGATGCGGATTGTGGCTAGACGCTCGTCCACCGGGGTGAACGACAGTACTCGGCGACGGAGTCTCTCTCCCACCACAAATCCAACTCCGAATTTGCGCTCCTTTACATGGCAGCTGTAGTAGACGTCGCAAGGCCCCAGACATTGTTTGCCTTGCCCCGTCCAACGCATTTCTTGGATGGCGGTGATGTCAGCTTTTGTCCTTACGAGGACATCAACCAGCCGGGCAGAGGCACCTTCCCCATTAAGGGTCCGGACATTCCAGGTGCATGCCCTCAAATCGTAGTCCTTTAAACGTTTGCCGTGGTCGTCATCATAAGGGGGGGTCTCATCCGAGGCTTTGCCTTGCTTCTTCACTGGAAGTGGTTTTTACGTGGCGGGTCCCAAGCCCAGCGCACAACCCATTGCTGGGACGGGGGTGGTTTCGCAACCAAATACACGTTTATATAGCGAGCCGCTTGCTCCAAGCAGACACCCGCTTGCAGCCGCACCTACTGGTGAACAGACGCTGCAGACTTCAGTGAGCCCTTAAACCGAATAAGTCAGAGTGGCCCCACCGAAGCTCCCTCTCTTTCTGCCGTGACCCAAGGCTTCACTCGGATTGGTTACCGCATCTCGCACGTGGGTTGCTCACGTTGCCCAGAGTGCACGAACGAGGACACAAGAGTCGGGATTGAGTATAGCCATGCAACTGTAACTGCATACCCAGCGCAACGACTATACCCCATTGCACTCCATTGCACACCAATGGTAACCAAAATCAAACGAAGCATCAAATTTGTTTCTGATGCGCTGATTACTCTAGCGATGCGTTTCGATAACTTTTCGGATGCGTTATGGAAAAGTATACATTGTCAACCAATTGTAGTTCGGCGTTATGGAACATTAAACTTTGTACGTATGCAATACAATTGACGTTTTGGAAGTCAGTCCAGCTTTTCGACGTTGAGCTTTCCTTGCATTGTTGGGCGCACCTGATTTGTTGCACAGAGGTGGGTGCGTATATTGGCTGCAACAATATAGTGGTCCGAGTGGATGTTTGGACCTCGGATCTACGTACGTCTAAAACACTGGAAGCGTGTCTTCCGTCTATCAAAACATGATCGATTTTGTTAGAATTTCTTTTTTTCGACGAATAACATCGGAATCTTCATCGGTGAGTTGTATAATTGCTGAACGTATTTGCTTGAATTTATTACCATAACATTCAGCTGCGGCAAGCCAAGTACAAAGTTCCGATGCGAATTAGCAAGCTAAATACGAGTAAAGTTACTGATGGCGTTTTTTTTCCACCGAAAAATATTGCCCTATGCACACAAACACTAAGAAGAGGGCCATGAAAAGGCAACATTTTTTGTATAAAAGAAAACGGCATAAGATTTGTAAACTACTTGTTGCACAATAAAGCTAGTTTTACAGTAATTTGAGCGTGTTTGTTTAACAATCCAGTAAAACCACCCTGAAGGATTTAGGAAATCGTCCAGAATTCAAAGGATAGTCGTAACAGTAGCAATCCTTTACACATTAAAATAAGAAAACTATGCATGGTCGTCAAATTTTAGCTCGGAAACCCTGAATAAGCAAAATAAGCAATTCCATGCCAAAGGCCAGTTTGCAGGTCTCAAGAAAACGGTCAAGAAAAAATTGCCATTATTTCTTGTGTGTATGTGTGTCCAAGGGATTTTGACATCTGATCACCAGCCTGTTGCCTCACTCTTTCCTCAAGAAATAATGGAACGGGAATATATTTCTGTTGCGAGCATGGGTTGCTTGTGCTCACAAAAAAACTTTAGAAAGCCGTAGTAGAAAGCGTAGCAAATTTATTAAGAACTGCGTACTGCCTCAAGAAAATTTTACACAAGAAATGGTTTTCCAAAACGCATCCGAAAAGTTATCAAAACGCATCGCTAAACCAATTAGCGCATCGAAACAAAGTTGATGCTTCGTTTGATTTTGGTTACCATTGGTGTTTTAAAATGTAAAATTCCGAAATGGTGATCATTGTTTTATTAAATATTCAAAATATGCAATGTATATGGTTGCAAAGTTTCGCAACTCTGCATATACTAACAGTTAAATACCGCAGCAGAACAGTATCCAAACTTTAGGTGCATTCGCGTATTGATAGTTTTCGATAACTATCAAAAACTATCAGGTTTTGCTCTTCGCGTACATAAAAATCCAGCAAAGTAGGGAAAATTGAGAGACAAAACTGACATTTCATTTTGATGAGAAGCTGCTTGTTTATGCTGGAAAAATTTTTGCCAGCAGCAATTTAGCAGCATGAAAAACAGCTGTTTGCAATTTATGAAAATTATTAGATTTATTTTGACGATTTTTAAGTTGAAAATAACTTTTAGAACTGGAAATGTTTTGGAAGAACACAAATATTATTTTACTTACTTTTGCTTAGCAAATTGCTTTAGGCAAACTTTTAATTTATATTATTTTCATGTTTTCTTATTTATGCTTTTGTATGTAAACAAAATTCCGATCAGCTGTACCTTAAACTTGCAAGTTTTTGCTGGTTTAGCGTTCGTGTACTTTTGCAAACATTTCTGTCCTTGAGAGAGAACAGATAAAAATTCATTTGAATTTTGCTGTTGAGAATTTTCTGCTGGAAGAATACGCTAATACACCTATTGTATTGGTACGTTTTGGAAGTCAGCCCTGTTCAAAATAATTTATTCGCCACTCGACTCTCACAAGCGCTGACAGCACTCTTTAACAAATCGACATAGTACGCGAGCTGTGTAACCACATTTCCGGCTCATAAGTACCACCGCCGAGAAGTATTCGGATTTCAGCAACAACTGTTACTGAATTCGACCGTTATAGGGAACTAAAGAGGGAAGCGAGACGTAGTTGTCGCAATGAGTCTGTGTTTATACACGTAAACTTTTGTGGACGCGATTTTTTATATTCCCTTTTAGCAGTGAACCGCTAACTCAATTTACACAGACGAAAGAGAGCATAAAGCGTGTTGCATGAAAACAAGCAACTCCACGATGCAGAAAATGAAGGTGGCGCCATTCGAAGATCGCTAACCCTCTCTTCGTCGATTTGACAGCATCCACCCATTCCCTGACGTCACACAATACTTTTACATTCACTGTTGCCAACTTGGTGCTTTTCGCACTAAATTTAGTGCGTATTCAAAACGCGTTTGGTGCGGCTGCGCTGGATTCGTCATGTCGTACGACTGGATAGAAACGCTCCAGCTCTGAAAGTATTAAACGCGGATCGCGATGCTGGTAACAGAGGAAGAGAGAGGCCCCAACTGCGATGGAAAGACCTGAATGACTGGGCTTCACTTGTCGTTTCCAAACAGCGCCAAATAAGAAGAACTTTGTGCGTCCCAGATGCATTTGCGAAAGCGAAGAATCTTATTATTTCTTTATTTATCTTTTATCCAGGTACAAAAGTATCCCTCTAGTTCACAAGCGTGCTATCTGATAGCTGTCTAAAAAATGAACCAGACCAAAAGCAAAAGATTCAGTTGGTTATTTTTATGTAACTTGCGAGCTTTTTCTTTCCCAAATTAAACAGATGTAGACACATTGTGCTTTCTTCAAAACAAAACCATTTGTGCAAATCGTTTTTGGCTACTCGCATTGTTTTAAAGTTTGCCATTTCCTAGGTCCGACTTCCATATTTTTTTGTCATTACCTTTGCTTTAATTTTGACTTATTCTGATAACAGTTGATTTGCTTATTTTAAACTCATCACCAATCACTTTAACTGAAACACCACTTTTTAGTTTTTCCGGAATACTGGTAAGTCAAAGAATGCGTTGAAATATAATTAAAAATAATAATCGATTTCCTGGTTTCACAACCTTCAAAATATACCTAAAATGGTGTGCTTGTACCGAATGTACTTTTGATCTAAATAAAGGTACGATTGTACCAACTTTTACATTACTGCGGCTGACACAGGCCGACCAGGTCGACCAGGTTTCAGAACCAGAAACCTGTATATACATTTCCGAAGATTTTCGGTGCACTGAATTGGGTAAATAATTTTCGAAATATATGTAAGCTTTTGAGAAAAAATATTGAAAGTTCCACTTCCATGCTAAATCTAAATTGTCCCTATTCACTGCATTGCCGACACTTTCCAGTGATTTAGGATTTTTATCCATTTAGGTGGCTATTTAGACGTGTTCAGCCTTAATACATATTCGAATTCTAAAGTAATTAATTAGCTAAAATCTTTAATGCAAATAAGCTTTTCAATAAAATTTGCAATGAAAGGCTGTTTCAAGCTCTCAAGAAAAACGAAAAATTCATATAAAATAACGCACAAGAAATGGAAAAGAAATTTTCTGCTATCAAAATTTCTTAAATCAGTTTGCAGCTCTCAAGAAAAAAATGCACGTTTATTTATTTCTTCAAGAAGATTTACGGCAAAAGCAAATGGCTTTTTCAAGCAACAGAAATAGTGGAAAATATTTTTTGTGATTTTTCTTGAGAGCTTAAAGAAATTTAGTTTCAAGATTTTTTATCGAGTTTTTTAATAATTCTGCTACGAAACAAAAAAGTTAGTTACGGTATTTCTATAGTATGGTAAGGATATACATGAATAATTATGTACAAATTTGTTTAAATTACTTACCAATCCTTTCTGTAAAGAGTCAACAACAATTTGAAGAATCAAGTAGGTCCATACAATATGTAAGAGCAGTAGCAATATCAAAAGAGTATTGAATATGTAATATGCAGGGAACATCGGCAAAATTTGTGGAGCTTCAACAGAAGAGCTGTAAAAATAAGATATGTTAATTGCTCATTGATAGGGAGACGTTGCATTGCGATTAGTTTGAATAAAAAAAATTTTATTTTACCCTAAATCGGTAAATTTACACTTTCAGCTTACTAAGGCCGACAAACCTTAGTATATGTACGTACCAGGGTTGTTGCGAATATTCGCATTCGATTTCCCAACCGCGAAGCTTCCGCATTAATTTTAACATTCGCATTCGCAAAAATCAATGCGGATCTTTGCAATGCGAATATTGAAGAGACCGAAAATTTCAGTTATTTTTTTTACGAGTTAAACGTGGCCAAATATTTTAAGTATTGGATATTTTATTTAATGTTTAATAATTTTTTATAAATATACAACTCATTACATAAAACAGCATATAAATAAACATTTATAACTTTGTACAAAAAAAAAATTCATTTTTTTTTAATTTTATCTAAAACTTTTAGAAAAATTATGGGTATGCAGTTCTGTAGCTCATTCAATTGTATTAATGTGCAAGTTTCAAGTGGCTAGAATAAACCCTTGATTTTTGAGAATTTTCACGTCGAGGGAGTTGAGCATTTTCTTCCATATAAACCACCAAAATTCAAAGCCATATCTAAAAAAACGTAAGATTTATTGGAATTCCTAGAACATATTTACCACTTTCTATATTAATTTAATAAATTGTTTGTTTTTCCTGTAAAATTTAAAATTTGTCAAATAAGGCCTCTTGCATTTATGGCGACGATATGTACATACATTTTATTCATGAACCGTTTTTGAAAAGGTAAAGTCGGAATTTTAATGCTCTCACCCTCTAGGATTGTTCAATATCGAAAAAAGTATACCCCTATTTTTTTATTTTGAAATCAAAAAAAAATTATAGGTCGCTCAAAGCGCTCAAAGTTTTCCATGTATTTATTATGGTTACGGTGACCATCCGTCCTGTATTATACGGGACAGTCCTCTTTTTTGACCAATTGTCCTGGTAATTTCTTTATTTTATACGGGACGCCAAATGTTCTGTATTCCTTTTCACGCCTTGTATTTGTCCCGTATTCAGTGTTCGGCATTTCGATGCCTTAACAACCCATTAAAATGGCATGTCTATGAAACAGTTTTAAGTGATGTTGGTATATGATTGTAATTTTCTCCATAAACAGTTATTAGTTTCTAATCTGAATGCCTGTGATTCGAATAGAAAAATGCATACGTGACCAAAATATAAATTAGGACTCGACATTTTAGTAACGTTTGGCTATTTTCATTTTGTTTATTTTATGTTTCTTATTTTTTTATGGAAGTAAGGCTTTTTTCCTAACAAAAACCATATAAAAAAAAATTCCGACTTTGTGCAAAAACTATAAAAATTAATTCTGCAAAGTTTCACCAAACTTTCAAACTTTTTGATCAGAATCTTTTGAAGGTTTGTAGCTCATTAAAATTCATTATAATAAGGTGCAAGTGCAATGTGTTCTGCTCATTTGCTTCTCTTTTAAAAATATTATCGAACATACTTCGTACGAAAAAAATGCGTAACACCGTCAAAAAAATATAAATCCAAAAATTAACGGTATATCCTAGCTACTTCGAACTTGCATTTTATTGTATTAAAATTTAAGGAATTTTTTGTAACAAATTTTGTGGAGAAAAAATCTCGAGAAAAATATCCTATAGGTTTGAGATGTTACTTTAAGGATGCTCTTTCAGCTCTAATACACTTAGGATCATTGAAGAAGGTTTTAAGATCTGTTAGCTTGTGTGGAAAAAATTGCAAAATTATTTTTTGTCCCGTATTAGGCCCCCATAAATATGGTCACCGTAATTATGGGAAGAAACAGCTTTTCGTAGAAATGGTATAGAATTCTTAAAAATCTATGTTTCTCGTTGTTGCTCACCATTCGACTTTAAATAAAGTTATGAGATTTCATCAAATTCATGCTATTCATAGTCAAGTTTTGAAACTCTTTTCCAGTGGGTTTATGACCTCATATGATTAAGAATCTGATGCCAGATTTTCAAAATTCAAAATGACGGTTAAGAGTTTTAAACAAATCCAATCATTTTTTTTTAAAGTTCATAGCCATTTTGGATTCACCATTTTGAATTTTGAAAATCTGACATCAGATTCGTAATCAGCAAGCTCAGAAACCCACTGGAAACGAGTTTCAACCCTTGACAATGTTTAAAACGTTCAGTATCAACATTTTAATTTTGGTAATTTTTTTTTTTAATTTGATCGCCATATTGGATCCGCCATTTTGAAAAAAAAAGTTGACTTCAGATTCGTAATCCAACCATAAAAAAAATGGATCGCCATTTTGGATTCGCCATTTTGAATTTTGAAAAACTGCCTTCAGATTCCATATTAGCAACCCCAGAACCCCCTGGTAACAAGTTCCAACCCATGACATTGCGTAAATCGTTCAGTATCAACGTTTTAATTTTATAAGTGTCTTTTCAAGAGCATATTTTTGGGAACTAGGCCCATGTTAACTGTCCAAGACAGGTGTGTAATTAAAGGAATGTTCCCCAATAATACCAGAGTAATTATATGTAAAAAACACATTTTAGCTGCATTTGAACATGTCACGAAAATAAAAAAAAATAGAACATCAGCGTTTTTATAAAAACCCGACCAGCGCGACCTCTTAAAAAACTTTTTTTTTTTATAAAAAAAATACGTGTCTCTTTTTTATCACAAATAACAATATTCTGATGTAGCGTTTATGAATTTCCGAAAATAGTGTTTTTATGAACCATTCTAATATGTACGTATTGTATTTGAAGTTCAATAAGAGTAAAAAATAAGGCCAATACAGCTCAAAGAACAACCTAAAATAAGGGTCCGAATGAAGTCATTTACGAGGCCAATAAGAGTCATTTAAGAGCCTCAAAAAGAGTCTGAAATTATTCATACTTACATATATGAGGCCAAAATTTGTTTTAAAAGGAGTCCAAAATGAGCCGTATATGAGGCCAATAAGAATCCAATATGACTCATGTTGAGGCTCATTTGATGTATGAATTTAAGCTCATATAAGTCGACCATCAAAGGTAGGGAAACAACCTCATTTCGGACTCTTAAATGAGCTCATTATGAGCATAAAGGCTCCGAAATAGAACTCCTTAAAGACTCATTTATGACTCCAAATGTTTGCTGGGAAGCTTTCTATTTCTACTCACGAAATTGTTTGTATAAATTTTTAAATTTCCAAAATTATACTTTGTGAATTTCAAAGGCTTCTACAATCGAATTAAAAAGTTCTACAAACTTATGTGCATGATACAAATATTTAAAGGTAGTCTGCCGTCTTCTTATTCGCCATTGATCCCATTTGACATGAACTGTACTTGCGACATATTGATTTTAATTGAAGCTACCATACTCTTTGAAGAAATAAAAAAAATCGCTTTTTACTTAAATAAAAATATTTCAAAAATTATTTCAAAACTTATTTAAAAAAATATATTTCGAGCATCATTTTATAGCGAGCTTTTAGTGATTTATTTCTAAAATTAAATATAAAACCTCCGAATGTATTTCTGCCATGAAAAATAGCTTCACATAAAAATACAATCGCCGTTCGGAGTCGGCGTAAAGCTGTATTTCCCTCCCCTTTGTGTGACAACATCAAGACGCAAGCCACAAATCGGAGGAGAAGCTCGGCGAAACACTAACATACGTATGTGTAAACGCCTATCTTTTCACGGTGCTACAAAAAAAAAGTCATGAAAAACACCCAAAACAAAACCTGGTGTAGGTTGTAGCTATGGTCGAGTACAACATGAAAATAGGTTCCGTATAGTTCCTGAACCCTCCATTTTTTTCAAAACAACCGTTATGTTCGTACTTGGTGCACTTATCTATTAACAGCTGGACTATTTTTATCCTTGTAAAAACCGAACATCTTTTAAAAAGAGGCTAATGGTAGACTTAGCTTGAAGGAAGTTTTCATCGGTTAAATTTTAATAAGCCCCTAATTCTTTCAACCTTGACCATCGATGATTTCCGAAATTTCTATGAGAGTTGTCAAACATGTAGTATTTACCTAAAAGAACATTTATTTTCGAATAATTGGTACCTCACCTAAATACTGCATTTGCATAAAAATTGTCGAAGGTTAGCAAAAATACGATCTTGAATTTATATGTGTATATTACGGTTGCCAGATTTTATCAGTACAGTACTAATTTTTCAACTCGCGTACTGATTTTATACATTTCTTCAATCAGTACGCTAATGTCCTGATTTTTCAAAATTTAACTGATTTGTACTGAATTTCCAATTCTGAGCATACAAATTTGTATTTGCTTGGTACTCGGTAACTCGGTGTTCTGTAATTTTTCCCATGTACTTTGTTTGTGTAATATTATTTTACACAAACCAAATACTTTAGGATTTTTTTAAGGTTTTCACATAATGCTGGAACTTCCTTAAACTGTGCTGTAAAAAGTAAGAAGAAAATAATTTAATTGTATTTGACATCTTTCAGGCAGGGACCGAAAATAACTGTTATGTAAAAAATTTTAAACTAAAAAATCATTATGAGAAAGCTGTCGCACACATATACTTTCAAACACAGTATACAGTAAACCAGCCATTGACAATATGCCTATTTGAAAATTAATGCATAAAATGTTGTGAATGTATAGGATTTTTTTGTCATTAACCCATAGGCAACGACTGATGCAAAAGTACCCGCAACTGTTTATTGATATATTTGAAATGTAAATTTGAACAGCAAAATTCGCAAAAAAAAAAATAATAAAACAAAAACATTTTTAATTACTACGTGGTTATTGGAAGATTTCGCCAAAATTTAACACTAACCTAAATTATACCAAAGGCAACTTCGACACCGACATTCGTTAAAATATCTAAATTTTGTTCGAGTTAGCGTGTTTACAAACAGAGAGGGCTGAACCAATTCATCTCGTCATTATGACAATTTTGATATATATGTATGCATATGTGTATATATGTACATACATTTTATACGGTTAACA